CGACTTAAAACAACACAAATTTGTCACCTTACAGTTTCTGTGGGTCAGGGGTAGGGGCCCAGGTTAGCTGGGTCCTTGGCTCAGGAACTCACCAGGTTGACCCTAAAATGTCAACCAAGACTCTTGTCTCATCTGAGGCTCAGGGTCCTCTTCCAGGCTCTCTGGTTGCTGGCAGGATTCATTCCGTGTGATTGTAGGACTGAGGTCCTGTGTTCTAGTTAGCTGTCCTCCAGAGGTCACTCTCACCTCCCAGAGACCTCCCTCGGGTCCTAGCTGTGTGGCTGTCTCACAGCCTCAAAGCAACAAAAGAATCTGCTTTTTCTAAAGTGAAGTCTTATATATTGTGACGGAATTTCTGGAGGGACTATCTTGTCACCTTGGTACAGGTCAAAGACTGTGCTCCCTCAGAACATGAAGGATGTGTTCACCAGGGCTGGACTCTAGAATTCTGTCTACCATGGGGATTTCAGTCTTTCCTTCATGTGTTTGGGCCAAACAGGACTTTAAGGACTCAGTGTTCTCATCCAAGGAAATGTGTCGGAATCCTTAGGGAACAGTGCATATTTTGAGAAAGCCCAGGGTTGGAAGGTGAGGGGCTCCCTTCTCCCCCTGGGTATTTGAGAATGACTAGGTTAGATGGGATATTCCTAGTGGAAGCAAAATCCTTAGTCACAGAAAGCATTATTTGAGCAAGCTTAAAATAAAGGAGATGCTTAGACATCTGAATAACGGGGGTGACTCTGAGTACACCATTCCTAGTGGCTGTGGGATTAGGGCAGGGTCCTCTTGTTGGAATGTGAGTATGGCAGTACTGGCGTTTACCATCTGGTTGGTGAGCCGGGCACCTAGACAGCGAATAGTAGTGATGGCAAAGGAGATACGTGCTGTGATGAAGGGACAAACAGGACGCTGCCTGCACACATGAGACAATCATTTGGAAGTGGCGTTTGAGATGATCTTTAAGTAAGATTTTGGAAGGAAATTGGGGGCTGAAAGAACTGTTGACAAAAAAAGCCTGGCAGCTAGCAGTGTTGGAGGGAAGGGGGAGTGGATCTAGATTTAGGGTGAGCCTAAATCCAATGAGTGATGTCCTTATAAGAAGAGAAGAGGTGATGTGAAGATGGCAGTGGAGGTTGGAGAGATGCAGCCATAAGCCAAGAAATGCAGGGGTCACCGGGAGTTGGAAGAGGCAAGGAATGATTCAGATTTCTAGCCTCCAGAACTGTGAGAGAATAAATTGATGTAAGTATAAATTGATGTTGTTTTAAGTCACCAAGTTCTGGAATTTACTACGATAAATGGACCTTTCAAATTTGGTGTACCTGTAGGACCCTTGTTGGAGGTGGCCAGTGGGCAACTGGAAATATGAGAGAAGTTGGGATTAGAGACGTCCATTTGGGAGGCTTCTGCAAAAACATGGTCATGGAAGAGTCAAAAGCAGATGAGATCATCAGGGGTGAGGGTTTGGATCAAGAAGAGAAGAGGCTGGAGCACAGGATCTGAGGGACCACCTGCAGGGCAGGGGCGGAGGAAGGAAGACAGGCTGAAAAGGAACTGCTGTTCAGGACGGAGGAGTGGCTCCGTCCTATCCAACAGTGTAGTGAGGTCTCCAGGGTGCTGATGGAAAGGGAGGCTGGTTTGGAAATTCTTTGATTATCAGTCATCTCTGTACCAAATTGCACTGGTTGAGAAGTGGGAGGCGAAAAAGTAGAAACGGCAAGCATTGACTACTTTTTTAATAAGTTTGACTGTGAAGACAAGGAGAGAAAGATTGACTATACATAGTGGAAGAAACATAATCAAAGGAACTTTGTGCTTATTTGCTTTTTAAGGATATGGCATTTTTCACTGTAGTTTTAGGCTGTGAGAAGGAAACAGGGAGAAGATGAAAATAATCAATGAAACAAAGTTCCAGAAAAGAGCTTACGAATATTTTTTTACTGTGCACCTACTATGTGCCAGGCACTGTGCTGGGGTTTCCCTGTATCATCTCATTGATCTTCTGAACACTCCTGCAGAGTAAAGAAGAATCATCCTGGTTCTATAAATGGGGAAACTGAGGCTGTAAACAGTAAAATAATTTGCCCAAATCAATACATCTGGGATGTGAGCCCAAGTCAGCTGACTCCAATGTCTCAGTTCTTTTCATTGTATTATTTTTCAATTGGAAAAAGGAAGACAGTGTCTTTCTCTGATTCACAAAGACTAAGAAGCATCAAGAAAATAAGCACATTTGCAATGGAGAAAAGGGAAGTTATAGTTGTTTCTATCACGTGGTCCATGTCCCCATTCAACTACGAATCAAAATGATCAGCTTCGAGGGAGGGAGGAAGGGTGATGTCAAGCAGGGTGCCTTGAGAGGGGAAAGGGTGTAAGATAACCTCAGCAGTGAGGATCCTACAGGGAGCCAACCGGGGAGAAATAAAAGACCTTGCTTAACAGTTAAGGCTCTGCTAAGATCCGTGGGCTGGATTTTCAGAGAAGCTAACCCACATGGGGGCAGGGGGGAGGGGGCAGAAGTTTATCTTAAGATGGACAACTCACCAGGAAGATTTAATAATAGCTCTGAAAAAGCCTGGAGCCACAGATATTTCTGATTTTAACTTGAGACACCTGCACACTCCAGGGCTCTGAGAACCAGCCATCAGACATCCCCAGGGGATTACCAGCCCCAGACCACCTGCTGGAGGAGAAAATGCTGACCAGCCCAGAGTTGGGCTGTTGGTCCCGGTTCTCCTCCTGCCTTGCTGAAGCCAGGTGCATGCCCAGCCTCCTGGTAGGGTTATCATTCTGACATGAAAATAACCTAAGTCCTTGACTCAAAAATAACAACATCTGCTAATTTGCATGGGAGTTTTGCATTTCATAGATGGGTTTAATACCCAAATGCTAAAATTCATTTGTTGGGCTAGTTAAGTTGTTTAGAGGTTCAACTGATAAAAATTCCTTGTGGAGTTCCACTCTGGTGCACCCAGACCCACTCCCGCCCTGCACGGCTTTGTTGTCTTGCCACTCATTGAATTGACTCTCAGGTGAAGTATGGGGTAAAAAAAAAAGTACAAAACCGATTTACTTAAAGCCTTGTTATTTTTAAGAAGGTCTCTTGGCAAGGGCATCTCCCTACATTCCCGTGTCAATCGGAGCTCTAAAGTGGGGCTCTGAGTCCTTCAGGGTCTTGATTTGGGACGAGCAGCCCCTCCCTGGTACTCCCTGGACCCAGGTGTGAGGGCAGCGGTTATGGAGCCAGAGGTTTGAGAGGAGACAGCAGAGAAGGTGTTAATGAATAATCGCAGGGCCTCATTCTCCATAAAGGCAATTACTGGGATTGATTGTTTCCGTGTTTCCTTAGTCACGGTTCAGATTGCTTCACTCAGATTAAGACAGATGAATGCCGACCACGCACAGGCATGTGATGTCAGGAGAGTTATCGATGGCATGTCCAAGGCCTCTGCCTTCTCTTGCACGTGCCACCACGAGTCCCAGCTGGGCTAGAAGGGGAGCGTGGTCATTGTGCAGATGAAGCATGTGCAGTGAGCATGGGTATTTGCGGACTATGGTATTTTAGCTGATGTACTCTCTGTTTCCTTCCCATGTGTGGTATGCGAGATGGTTTTTCAACTCAAGTGTGCACAGCATACCCTGGAAGTCTTGGTAAACACAGATTGCTGGACCTCACCTCCAGAGTTTCTGATTCAGTTGGTCTGGGGTAGGACTCGAGAATTTGCATTTCTAACAAGTTCTAGGGTGATGTCGCTCCAGCTGGTCTGGAGAACCCTTCTTTGAGAATCACTGGGTAGTGGCCAAGAGCATGGACACTGGGACCAAGCCACCTGGCTTCAGTCCTGACACTATGACTCACTAGCTGTGTGATCATGGGCCATTTACTTAACCTCTCTGAGCCTCCATTTCCTCATCTTTAAAGTAGGGATGACAATAATAGTACCTCCCCCATGGGGTTGTTGCAAGGAATAAATAAGTTACAACTTCAACACATTTATAGCAGTGCCTGGTTTAGAGAGTATATGCTCTGTGAGTGTTGAATACATAAATACAGGACCCAGCCTCTTGGGACTGTGATCATAACAGCCCAAGTCTCATTTCCCCAACACCTGCAGCTCCCACTGGAGTTGCTGGGTCATTTTACCTATTAGCCTTCAATCAGTGAAGCTCGGCGCTAGTTGGAAGGTGGTCATACCAGCACCCATCAAAATCCTCTTCTCAAGCTACCTTGACCCTTCAAATCGACCGAATGCATAGAATGTGACTCAATGAGACTGCGACGGGAGGGTAGTTCTGCATTTGGGGTTTCTCTCCCTCATGTGGGCAAAGAGCGGGGCTACCTTTTCTGGTCAAGTTCATCCTGATTGCTGCTGTTTGTTAAATGTTTTCTCAGTGCTTGGCACTATATTTTTATGTACATGATTTTATTTAATCCTCACAATGTCACTCTTAGGTAATAGTTGTTATTCCTATTTTAATACTGCTGGGGTTCAGAGTAATTAAATGATTTATCCAAAGTCACCTAGTAAAAGCCAGGTCTGTCTGACTTCAATAATTTGTGATCGTAAAGTTCTCTGTTACCACCTCCCTGACTTTATATGTGTATTTATATAAAAATTAAGGCTGGGTCCCAAGGAATCCAGCAGTGGCTGCTGCTCCCCAACGGTCAGCTCCCCAGAACTGGAAGTGGCCTGTTTCAGGGGTTTGCTTTTCCAAAGCTTGGGGTAAGACTCCCAGAATGTTTTCCTTTGGGAATGTCCTCTTCAGTGACTTGCTGCTATGGCTGGTTATTCTCTCTGGCCCAACTTCTGGATGAAATTGTGTTCATGCTCCCAAAGGCAGCTTTTCTTGTCTGAATTTGGATATTGGCCTAGTATCTTAACATTTCTGCTCCAGAGCAGTGCTCCCAACCAAATGGCCAGAAGAGCATCCACGTACTATACTGAATATAGGAAGGAAGAAAAGTGTTGTGCTAATGAAAGTCTGGTTTTTTCCCACAGTGTTCCTTTCTGCCGAAATTCTCCATTCATATAGAAACCAAGTATGAGGACAACAAAGGAAGCAACGACCGCGTGAGTAGTCCCCATGCCACCCCTGTTACACTCTGTGCTTGCCTCCTGGGCTCTGAAAGCCACGCTACTTCTCAAGACCCCTTGTGCGACCAGGGCCAGCAGCACGACCTGTGCCTGGGACCTCAGAGACGTGCTGGCCTTTGGATTTTGAGGGCTGTTTCCCCAGGACTTCTCCCTGTCATTATTTTGTTGTCTAGCTTGTCTTTCTTCTCATTTTTATGTACTTTCCATGGGCCTCTGTGCAGAAATCTCTATGACCTGGGATGATTGGCCCTGTAAGTGGAGAGGACAGTGGGGCACTCGGGATTTGGTTTCTGATAATGGGATGGAGCTCACATCTTCTCAGTGACTATTAATATTTACTTAGAAAAGCGAATGCAGTCAGATACATGTGTGCATACTGTATGTATTAGCAGGACTATGCTTACGTTCACATATGCAGTATACACGTGCGCAACTCGTACATCCAACCTAAAAATCAAGGGTTACCCCTGCAAAATACTTGCCTCATGAGGCATTTAGACTTTTACTAAATTTCAGCCAAGTACTTTGTTTGAACTTCCAGAGTACCTGGAATTTTCTAGAGTAGAGAAGAATCCAGCTGGCAGAGGTACTGTTATCCCTTTGAAGTGGTGACCCCAAGGGAAATGTTTAGGACCATCCTCTTGTCAGTGGCCTGAAATCAGAGGCACTTTGCTGGCCAACTTCATCGAAACCACAGTGTCTAAAACAGTGTCCCACAGTGTTTAAACTCGAACCCTTGTAAAATAATGACTTTTTTCAGATTGGAAAATTCATACATGATTATTAAAATTTGGAAAATGCAAACACAAAAGTATCAAAAAAGAAAATAGAAACCAGTAGCAACCCCACAATTCAGAGATGACTGCTGTTAGCAATTTAGTTCACATTGCAAATTATTAATAAATTTATTTTTTTGACCAATTCCTCTAAAATTGAATTGTACAGTATGCTATTTTTAACATGTTGTGAAGTATCCTTCCCAATGTGATTTTTACTGGTTGCCCTGCATCCCATACTTTGGTGGACTTCTTTAAACAGTTACTGGTCACTGGATATGAAGTGGACTTGACCATTTTGATGTAGCTGTGGACTCTCAGGAAAAGTGTCAGGTGCCTGAATTGCTTTTTCTGGCACAATCTGAAAATATAAGGGGAAAATTTTTTTAAATATCTTTTAGTTGTTCCAAACCAATTCCTTTGCTTTCTCTTTTTCTGTATGCCTCTGTCCCCATGAGTTAATTCAGAACAGCTCTCCCTCTGAAGAGCTGCAGAGAGGACATGCAGCCTCGCTGTGATCCTTACAGGGTGGTGGGACCACAGTAATCTTTTCTGGTTTATCCTGCTCAGTTCAAATAGTCCCCAGAATCCACGTGGTTATTATGTATTATCTTGTATCCCATTTGTGGCAGGTGCTAAGTTCTTTTCACTACTATCCTAGGAATTTAGCCTTTTCACTACTCTTCTAGAAATGTAAAATGTTAGGTTATCTACCTTAGAGTCAGAATCCATGCCCGTGCCAAGGGCTAGACCCCCTTTGAGACTTAGGCAGGCCTGCAAAAGAAAAGGCTGAGCCCCTGGGCAAGCTGTGCAGCCCTTGTGCACAGAGCATGCTGACTTGGGGACTGCCCATGGGGCCTGCTCCTTGTCTGTCTGTCCTGATACCCAACTTGCCCCAGCCCATGTCGTGCCATCTTGTTATGCTGAAGAGACCCTTTGGGTGTTTTTGCCCCAGATTCTCGCCCCACAGCCTCTACTCGGCTCTGCTCTGTAGACCCCTGGGCCTTGCTCCTGAGGCCACTGGATCAGCTCAACCAGCTCAACCAGCCTTCTTTGCCCATTCGGCCTCCTCCAGCTTCCACATTCAGCAGCAGCAGTTATTCATCCATGTGGCTTTCAGGATTGGTCCCAGGGAGGCAGAAAAGGAGAGTGGCATTGGTTTTCATTCACTCTTGTTAATGCTTCAAAATCTGAATATGAGAAATATATATTTATCTAAGAATTCTTTAATTATTAAAAGAGCTTTGTCCAGCCAGGGTTCAAAACTAGAGCCTTAAGCCAAAGCATGTGCTGGTGTGCTCTTTTTCTGTCCCCAGTTGAGTATGGAGTTTTTGGTGGGAGGCAGTCATGGATATTTCTCTTGTCTCACTGTGCTTCCAAATTATTTAATAAGCTCAGTTCATTTCTTTGCATTTTCTAGGTGTAGAGTCTTATCATTCATCCTTCATACTGCTATCTGCACCCTGTTTCCTCCCTACCTGCCAAAAATTTAATGAAATTGATGATAAGAAGCAATAATTAAATTGAAAGATGCTAGTGATAATCACATTGATTAGTGGTTGAATCCAGTACATGTTGTTGTCTTATTATCAATTACCATATAAGTAAGTTTTTTACCTGACCCAATATTTAGTAAGAAACAAAATAGTGGCAAGATAACTAGATATAAATATCTTCTGCTCCTTGTGAAAAATAAAACCAGTGTATTTATGATCATGAAAATCTGCAAACTGTGATTACATTAACCAGGACACAATGGAGAAGTTGTCTTAAATTGAGGCCCATTTATTTTCTGCACATACTTATGAGAATTATTTAGGCCTCGATTAGCACTAGGGAGGATGACACCATGCCAAGGTCAGGTCCTGTTGTTTGTCCAAGACCATAAAGCTAGATCTGGGGGAGTCGGTGCTTAGCACTGCCTGGTTTGGCTGAAGTAGAGGCTGCGCGTGTGACCGCTGCTGCCAGGTTACTGGTGTGCTGTGGGGTTAATGGGGGCAGCCTCGCTCCTTTATTTCCTCTTCCAAACAAAGCAGGCACCCTTTAAAGCAGGGGTTCTCAGCCTTGGCTGCACATCGGGCTCACCTGAGAAGTTTTAACACTGGGCCCCAACCCCTGGGATTTTGATTTAGTTGATCCTGGGTGCAGACTGATCTAAACCATGCAACACATGAAGGACATAATGCTCCCTTCCAGAATGCTGAACTCTCCAGGTGAGAGTGTGCATGGTTTTAGAGAGTCATCCCTCAGGCTGAACCTGATATATTCTTTTAGGAGACATGGGATATGCCATCCCCACCCCACGTGAGGATCTAGACCAGGGGTTCTCAATTGTGGCTGCATATTAAACTCACCTGGGAAGCTTTAGCCATCACTAAATGCCACCCCCCACCCCCAATGATTAGATTTCACTTGTCTGAGGTGGAGTTCAAGCATTGGGATTTCTAAAGCTCCCCAGGTGAATCTAAGGGGTGACAAGGCTGAGAACTATAGACTGAAGGATTGATTACTAAGTGCTATTTAAAACTAACTGTAAACACTTAGGAAAATGGGTTCTCCAAATGTCTTCACTTCTTCATACTCCTGGAACTGGAACAGTTTACAAAAGGCACGTTTATAACCACCACCTGGCCCGCACCCACCCACAAAATAAAAGAGCCTCAAGGTACCATGTATGTTCTCCTTAGCCACATATCACCAAGGACATTATTTCTTGGCAAAGAAACTCCTCTGATAAGATGGAAAGAACGTCCAGTTTAGTTTCTGGAAACACGAAGCTCTGTCTCTCACAGAGCTCTCCTTGGAAGTTGCCTAAAAGAAATATTTGGAATGTATTTAGTTTCTAGTTCATCTGTGCGGTAATGAGAGAACACAGAGTTGTTCTCTGTGAAACAAAAAGATCAGTATTGAAGTTCAAACTCTATGACCTTAAACAATTCCCCTAAGCTATCAGAATCTTGGTTTTTTTATTTAATAAAATAGAATAAATAATGCTTGCATCAGAGTATGGAGGATTCGTAGAGGTTATTGTACATGGAAGCACTTCCTAAACTGTAAAGTACGATGAAAACATTAGAATATTGTAATGGTGATGGTCATACCTTGGGACTGACTGTGTCAATGATGATTTCCTAATGAGACTCTGACTTTGTCCAAATTGTCAATAAACCAATAAAGCTGTTCAGCAAGTTTTGAGCACCTACTTTGTGCCAGGCATTATGAGAGGCATTGAGGAGACAGCAATGAGTGAGACAGCTCCGTCCTCCAGTACTCACAGAAAGAGGGGAGGCCGGTAATAAGTCAACAAACAGAACAATTACAGTGGTAGTAAGTGCCGAGAAGGCAGTACCGGGATGGAGGGTACTCAGCCTGCAGCTGTGTGGTCAGGAAAGGCCTCTTGGAAGAGATGGCAAGACCATGTGAGAGTTGAGCATGGGAAAGAGCCAGCATCTATAGAACTTTCCAGGTGAGGGGCTCGTTATGGGCAGAGATATGTCCCCTCCCCACCAAATTCTTATGTTGAAGCCTTCAGAATGTGACTGTGTTTGGAGACAGGGCCTTTAAAGAAGTCATTACCTTAAAATGAGGCCATTAGGGTGGGCTCTAATCCAGTCTGACTGGTGTCCTTATAAGAAGAGAAAACTTGGACATATGAAGAGACACTCAGGGTGTGCCACATGAAGACACAGTGAGGAGCCATCTGCACGCCATGGAGAGAAGCCTCAGAAGAAACCAGCCCTGCCCACACCTCAATGTAGACTTCCAGCCTCTAGAGCTGGGAGACAATCACATTCTGTTGTTTATGTCGCCCATCTGTAGTATTTTGCTATGGCAGACCCGGCAAACTCATACAGAAGGCGGAACCTAACATATTCTGGAACTGTTAGAAAACCACCAGCCGGAGCATTAGGAGTGAGAAGAAGTAGACGGGTAGGAAATGAGATTGAAAAAGCCAAGGGGGCCAGAACGTTAAGACCTGTGGGGCCTCAGAAAAGAGTTTGGATTTTAGTGCCATGGGAACTTATTCAAGGATTTCAAACAACGGAGTGACATGACGTTGTTTATGGAGTCTTTTGATAAACTTTTTATTTTGGAATAATCTTAAATTTACGCTAACAATGCAAAGACAGTGCAGAGAGTCCCCATATACCCTCTACCCAGCTTCCCCTCATCGTAATGTCTTACCTAACCAGGATACGT